GTTATCATTTTAGGAAACAGCTAAAGGTCGAAATATGAAGATATAGTGCTTAATCTAAATATTTTATTTTACGAATGACTTCATATTTCAAAAAGATTCAGCTTAAACGGTGACTGATTTTAATTTTCCGAATTTCTTTTACGACTTACTAGCAACGTGTATGATGTTATTTATAATTAATAAAAATTCAACAGCTATAAAATTTACATAATTCTTCTGGTTGCATGTTAATACGATTTGCATTATTCTAATCCCAATACAATTCTGCAATGCAATTTTCTTCTGTCTGTATAGTTGCTTGCAAGCAGTGAATACTATAATAATAACAAAATTTTCATGAGGTTCTGAAGTTCACAGGTTTAATTAAATTTTCAGCTTCTTCCCTTCCTTTTTATTACGCTTGCTTTCCTCCCCTTAAATTCAAATCTAAAACACTTATTTTATTTTTACGTTTAAAACAGAGACTTTTTTTCAGTGTGTTTCATTAGTTCTCATTCTTAAATAATTATATGGGATACCATTCGATAGGATCGTATTTCTCCCATAACAGGTGTAGACACTATACAAAGTAACGTCGAATCCCACCAAGAAACAAATCTGATCTGCAAGGAAATGCATGAAGTATATTTCTCTTAAAATGATCTAACAGCGCTGGCAGTTTTGAACCGAATTTGAATCGTGGCAAACGGGCTGGCAGAATAGAAGTTGTCATGGTTTCCTCGATATGTTATATGAATACGAACCAGTTTCCATTACAAAAGGTCCTTTATAAAGGCATACCTTCTTTTAAACAGATAATCTGGCGTGATTTGCTACAATACAAATAATTCAGTAATTCAAATAATTCCAACACGATCTTCTGATTATCAAAAAATTATTCTTCAAACTCTCTGAACATGCAAAAATTTAATGATTCGCCGTAACATAAATATATAGGGTAATTCTATCTTCTGGACACATACTTGAATAAAGCGGGCGCAACCCGCGCAAAGCCGCTGAACACTGGTAGTGAAGTGTATCTTTCAAATACTCGTGAAAGGGTTGTCTGCATGGGTGTTTTCGTGATTTTACGGATGTGTATCGTGTAGCCAGTATCTTCTGCATGCATACGTGAATGAAGCGGGCGCAGCCCGCGCAAATCCTCAGAACACTGGTAGTTCGGTCCAACTTTCAAATCCCGGCGAGTGTGGTGTGATGGTGTATTTAATTATGGCAAAGCACACTAGGACTATCTGCCTAAGGGGAGGGATGCCTTTCGTGGAGGACTTTCTAAGGGAAACTGGCTCGTATACACGTTACACATGGGGAAAACCACGAAAACGCCCATGCAGCCAGCCCGTTCGTGGGATTCGAACCTCGGACCGAACTACCAGTGTTCAGTACTGCTCGGCCGCTGGTGGGCCCTTCCCGGCGAGCGGGTGTGCTGCATGTGTGTTATCGTGATTTTACGCATGTGTAATATCCATGCAGTATCTTCTGGATACATCCGTTAATAACACGGGTGCGGGCAAGTAAAATCGCTGTACACTGGTAGGTCGGTCCAACTTTCGAATATAGCCGAAATTTAACATGGGAACTCATTAAAATTAAACAATGAAAAGCGGGCTTCAGCCCGCTAGTTCACAATAAAATGTGTCTTTGGTTTCTCTTTTAATGAATCAGAATAGACTCGATGCTTAGTGTTGCACAGCAGGTTTACCACCCGGATGTGAATTTTTTAAAGAACACTTTCGATCCTGTATTAGTTCACTGTCAGTCAAAAATCTTCATAATCTTATACCATAGTAGTAGCATTGAAATTACCATAGTAGTAACATTGATATTAGCAACAATAACAAAGGATATATTGGAGATAATAACAACAGTCTGATTATCATCTTGAACTTCTTCGTGACAGTGAAGGAAGTGTCGCAGAAAAATTGTAAGTAAAATTTCGGAGATTTTTCCTTTGCTCTCATGTATTATTTGTTATTTTGAGAATTACAAAACCAAAATCATTTGAACTCGCAACGATCATTTTGGCCAACCTTGCAAAGAAGTTCTGATTGATGTTCATGTAAAATTATTGCAATTAAACAAACTTTATAATTTATTGATTTTTAGTCTGAAAGGCAACAAATGCGAAATAAAGTGAAAAATCTTAAATTCCAACAAGGATTTTATATTATTTTAGATATAAAGGATATATAAAGGATTTTATATTATTTTAGAAGTTTATTTATTTTAGAATTTTATTATTTATACGCGAAGTATAGTATAACATTTCGCCATTTAATAAACCGATGCTCACTAAGCTAAAGAACTCCAAGTAGGTAAATTAGATAAATTTCCTGCCTCACATCACTCTAATCTGATAATACCTGAGCTATTATCAGATTAGAATTTAGATCCACTCAAATAATTATATTCTTTACACAGCCATCTCTAAGCATTCAAAATGCTATTCCCCATAAGTAACGTGAATAGGAACCTGCTTCCTTTAGTTCTTCAAATAAAAGGTCTCTTTTCTGTTACCTAGATAGTTAACATATACTCCTTGTACAAAAAAAAGGGGGTGGCAATTCTATATCTCCCTTTCTATTGGTCCGAATGACGAATTTTATTTGCGTTTTACATGTCTCGAAAACGCGACTTAAGATATATATCAGATTTACATAGAGCATTGTTCTAAAATAGGTATTCCGATTATTTCTCATATGACATACGATTTTTTTTCCATATTTCGGCTCTACGACACCAATTATGCCAAAGTGCCATGTTTTGTAAAAATTGCACTAGAAGGTTTTAAAAATTTTGCTCTAAAAATTTTAAACTTATTAGATTCATTAACCTTATTAGTCATTTTTTCTTGCATTTCACTGTTCTATTGAACTTAGTCCGTCACAAATAAAATTAAGCGGATATAGGGTATACTATTGCCACTAAACTATTTTTTATCTTTTGTTTTCTCGAACTGTATACGAGCAATTAATATTTTTGCATCCCTGCATTAAAAAAACATAATATATTACTAATATATCTTTTTAAAAAAGTTTGTATGTAAGTAAATATATAACGCTTAAAAATTAAGATTAATAAACGTACACTGAATTGAAGGATATGTACTCTTTAATTTTATTTATCTATGTGTAATCAATCAGAATGTTCCAAGACATCTAAAACCGACCGTAAATGTAACTTAAAATAGATAAAATTTTCTTTATTTTCATTTTATGAAAAATAAATATTTCATTTTGATTAAGTTCCGAATTAAAAGTTACAAGCATATATTAGCTTTTTTTTAAAATTAAAAACCTCTTAATTTAACTTATCTCAACGTTCTTACCTTGGTAAAATTTCAAAATGATTTCCCGAGAAATCTCCGAGAAAAATTTCAATTTATTCTTTCCGACTTCCCGCCAGACTTTAAGTGATTCAAACCTAAAGTCAAAACTTAAGGTCATTCAAAATAAAAGAAAAAGTTTTTAAAACTAAAAATGTCTTTATCTCGAATCTCAATTGGAAATCTAAAAGTTTTCAAATCTCTCATATCCTTCCCTTATAAATAATGACAGCAATGACAAGAAAGAAATATAGAAATATATCATATTTATTTCTTATCATTGCAATAAGTTCACTTTATCAAAATAACTTGGCAAGAGATATTTGAATAAAAGTTCAAATGTTTTACGTTATCAGATTTTTTTTTTTTTTTTTTTTTTTTTTTGTATCGGAGCAAATGTAAAACGGGGAATTATTCCGACAGTTAATATAGATAAGCATTATACACGTAACGCTATAACCCTATAATAAGTAAAATTATTAATAGTTAAAAAGAAATTTATACTGTTTAAGAGGTATGAGGTGATATTCATGATCCAGTTACCACTAAAATCGAAATAACCAAAGTAATTTTTAGCCCAAGAGGGGTATTTATTTCAAAACGGCATTTCGCGTCGATTCACTTTTCAAACTGTAGCCACCAAATATTAATCACCATGTATTATATTTAAAGAAACTAAATAATGAAGAATCTGCATGAATGTTTCTCGCACTGTGAAAAAACAACGGTACCTAGAGACATCAAATTTTGAATAGCGTAGACCTCTAACCGAAAATAGGCAATTGGAAGTTCGAATTTGTTTTATTATCTATTTAAAATTTTGTAAAACGTTAACGAATTTTTGAGAGTATATCGAAAACTGTATATGGGAAATTGTAAAGATATGCTCTCTTTTTAAATTATTTTGTGATATTCCTGTTGAATTGAATTTTATGTGGTTTAAGTGCGAAGAACTTGATATTTAATAAGTAAAGGTAACACACAAGTTAAAAAAGCGTAATAAAATTTTAAAGCAGAATTTTTTTTCGTTAAAGGGTATAACGCTTTTTTGGATTAAGATTCGAAAGAAGGAAAATGCGCATCGATTCAGATTTTCGAATTTCGAATACATTTAAAGATTCGTGGGATTCGAATATTCTAAGTAACCTAACTTTTAATTAACTGGCTTGAAAAAAAATAAATGAAGTGCATGCTTAAAATCAATATCATTCTTTGCTTTAAATAAATTGAAAAAATTATTAGACAAACTATTGTTTTGAGTTTAATTTTTGAGTCGATTCGGTAACATTAATAAATGTCGTGGTTTATAACTGACTATTCATAAATAAAGAAGGTGCGATCCGAATGCTCGATGATCTTCGAAAATTCTTGCTAACTGAAAAATAGTGTAGATTAAAAACAAATCGAAATAAAATAATTTCGTAAGCGATTATAATTTTGAATATTTCATCCATACTTACATAACATAAAGTATAATATTGAACCGTACCTTTTATTTTCGAATATTTTACGCAAATTCTCGCTTATACGTAAGATCTCCATAATTATTTAATTTTAGAATTCAGTACGATCTTAGTCTGAGTTTGTGAATAGCATATCTGAAGAAAACTCGCAAAAATTGAGAAAAATAAATCAATAGAGATGATTAGATTGAAGATGCTGAAAGAATATTTTTTACCTTAGGGTAAGTCGACAGCCAATCCACCCATGAGGAAGCGGAGCACTTTCCGGCGGTTTTCTAATTTAAAGCATGGAATTAAAATTCATGTGTCCGAAATCCGAATGCAGATATGAATGAAAATTTATCTCGTTACCGCTGTTTACAAAAAGTAATGACACACTGCGGGAAAAGGCGTTACACATCGGGATCAAAAGGGAACGCGATATCCTTTCTGTGTGGGTCGCTCGTCTAAAAGTGTCCAAACGCCCCGTCTCCTGACGGAGCAACAGTTGAACTCGGACGAGCTGCAGAAGATGTTTGGATACAGTAAATGACAGCAGAGGGCGTTGCTGTAACGAGGTTGCCAGACTGAGCTTTCTGCTGAATTGTTTGGAAGGGCCGCCAAGGTATGAACACATTTCGGAGAAAGAGCCGCCAAAAGTGCTTATATCAATCTTTCTCACTTTGATTTTGTAAAAATGTCTCGAAATCATGCTAACCCTCTTACTTTAACTTTGTTGTTACGAATATAAAGGATGGTTTATGACAGTGTATGCTTCTGGGGGGAACGCGACAAGTTCCCGCCCCCGTCTTAATATTGTTCTGGAGCAAAGTATTTCTTCAGATATTTTTCTTGATGGGAAATACTATTTCCAAATATTCATTCTGAATTTAAATATTATTGAGCACTTTTAGTGAACGGTTTGGAAGAAATTAAATGATCCATTGTCGAGATTATATGGCAATATTTTTAAATTGCAATAAAACTTGAAATAGTCCTCACGTGTTTTGATGATGTGAACGCTGAAAACTATGAACATTTTCCTAAGCATAAGTTTATAAGGTATTTCTCCAGCCTTCTTAGCATGCCTTCGTAGTGTAGTGGTCTGCACGCTGGGCGCGTATTCCAGAGGTCCGTGGTTCGATTTCCGGTGAGGGCGTTGCTTATTTTTCAAGTCTCCTGCTTCCAAAAACTCCTAATGTCTCTACAAAATAAGATAGTTGTTTCTGTAATTAAATACTTGAAAAATCTTACGTCCACATTTCCTACAAATCACCAAATTTATAGTCACTTTTATTTCAGAAAAGAAGGAGGTTGGATTTTATAGCCTTAACGCACTAGGACATTTAACTTTCCAATTCCGTAAAACACAACTAATTTTCTACAGTTAAAATTTTGTGAATGAAAATTCAAATTAAATTACTATATTTTTATATTAAATAATCTTACAATTCGAATTACGTTATTTATATGTATTCAGCGAATATGCTAATTACTACTCACAGATGTTTATACATTTATTAGTCCAAAGGGATTTGAGTCCCGAAGGACTATTATTTTCGTTTTAGCATTTTGCGTCGGACTCCCATAAATGTAGGTTCACTTTTCAAACTGTTGCCACAAAATGTGAGAGTCCTGCATTATATTTGAAGAAATTAAATGATGAAAAATCTGCATAAATGTATGTATATTTCTCGCATTGTGATCAAACAACGGTATCTAGAGCCATCTAATTTTGAATGACGTAATCCTACTGCGAATATGGGCATCTGAAATCCCAAATTTGGAATTTATTTTCTTATCGATTTAATATTTTGTAAAATTGTAACGAATTTTTGACTAACAAACTCAACGATTCGCTTTAAAAGCGAGCAATGGGAACACTCTACGGGGAGAGGGAAAACCTTTTTATCTCCAGTGGTCGAAATGTGTATCGGAAATTCTAAAGATAGGCTCGTTTTAAAATTATTTTGCGACATTGCTATTGAACTAAATTTTATGGTTTAAATGCAAAGAACATGATATTTAATAAATAAAGGTAACACACAAAACGTTAAAAAAAAACGCCCCCTTTGGACGTAATTTAAAATCTGAAACATTTCAGATTTTTTTTTTTAAACGTATTCTAGCTAAATTTTAAATTCCACTTAATTTTAGTTTAAATTGGTTGCAATGAGAATGGTAAAAGGAAACTGCAATGGAACTTCAATAAACCGAGCCTGAGAAGCAGGCAAGAAAGGAATAATCGAAAATTCAAGTTAATAAATAAGACATTTAATTAACTGCGCTTCCCCCAAAAAAACTATGTTTTTTAGTAAGTATATATATATATAAATATTTTAATGAAACAAGAGAAAAATTAGAACGCGTATATCGAGATATTTTTTGAACCGCAAAAAGAGTTGAAATATTATTAATATGAAGAAATTCAAATGTTTAATCGTATATTTGCTTAAGAAAAATTCATTTGGTTCTGATGAAGTAAAGGATACAGAACCAATTGAAAATAATAATGAGAACTAATCAAGCTATAAGGTATGTCTCCCGCCGTCTTAACGAACCTTCGTGGTGTAGTGCTGCACGCTCAGTGCTTAATTGAGAGGTCCGCGGTTCGATTCCCGGCAAAGGCGTTGCTTATTTTTCATGTTGCCTGCTTTGAAAAATACCTAATGTTTCTACAAAGCTTTTTCTTTGCATTTGATAACATTATATGTACTTTTTAACAGCACATGTGAAAACATTGATTGTAACAAAAACAATGTTTTAAGTGCCTCATTTTTAAAAATATAGTATAAAATTGCAGAAAAAAAAAACTTAACATTGCTTTACTTCGAATAAAAATGTACACTGTACTTGCAAAATAATTCTTTCAGTAATACTCGCAGAGCAAGAGTGAATTTGCTTTGGGAAACAACTGACTCAAAAATCCATGGGCGTGCAAATACACTCATGTGCATAAATTAAGGATAATGCGAAATAAGGCAAAAAAAAAAAAAAAAAAAAAAAGTTAGAAGCAAAATAAATTTGGCTTATTTTTAAAGCTTATTTATTAAACAAAAGATAAATAGCAAAAAGAGATGCTATATGTTTGATATTATTAAAAAAATAGCAATTTTTTCTCCCTGGAGCAAATTACAAAAAAAAAAAAAAAAAAAAAAAAAAAAAAAAAAAAAACTGTTTACAAAAAAAAAAAAAAAAAAAAAAACAATATTACATGGTTGGTATCATTGTTAATACATCGTATGTCTCCCAGACGATGCAATACAGTCCGTATAACGCCTAGGCATGTTGAGTATCAAATTATCGATCTGATCTTGGGGGATATTACACCACTCAAAAAGCAAAGCTCTCCGAAGTTCCGGTAGACATGTAGGAGGAGGTTGACGGGCTGCAACTCGACGGTCAAACATGTCCCACACGTGCTTTACTGGATTCAAGTCCGGTGAGAATGCTGGCCAGTCTATACGGGTGATATCCTCCGATTGAAGGCATTCGCTTACGATGTTTGCACGGTGAGGACGGGCGTTGTCATCCATAAACACAAATTGTGCGCCTATGGCGCTCCGAAACAAACGTACATGTTGTTCCAGAATGCCATCCCGATAGATTTGGCTTGCCATGGTTCCAATTTGAACATGCAGGTCAGTTCTGGAACCCAGAATAATTCCACCCCAAACGAGCACTCCTGCACCACCGTAACGGTGTCGTTCAATGATGTATTCTTGGTGGTAACGGGTACCTGGAGGCCTCCATATGAAAGTCCGGCGAGAATCAGACTGCAAGCTAAACTTGGACTCGTCGGAAAACATCACACAAGCCCACTGTTGAGGTGTCCAAAATGCATGCTCTCTACTGCAGGCTAACCGCAGGCGACAGTGAGTTGCAGTAAGTGGAAGGCATCTGACAGGTCTACGAGCATATAGACCAATCTGCCCTAAGCGTCTGTACACGGTCTGCCTTGAAATTGTAGTACCAGTGGCTGAAGAGAGCTGACAAGACAGGTCTGAGGCTGTGCTGCGGCTGTTTCTGGGAGTAACTGCCAAATACCGGTCCTCATTCGGCGTTGTAACTCTGGGGCGACCTGTGCTGTAACGTCTACTCATATTACCATCATCTTAGAACCGTTGCCAAAGCCTGGAGATGACACTCTGGGCAATTCCAAGTTCGTCTGATACTTCCAGTTGATACCCAACCCACATTCCAGTTGATACCCAGCCCACATTCCAGACGGCCGATAATTCTACCACGTAAAAAATCATCCAAATGCGTCTTTTGTGTCATAACTATTCGGTTATTGCACTGAAATGCTTATAAAACGCCTATGAACAATTTTACTTCTTTGCCTGTATTCCTTATATATCACTCTCTTTCACTCTCGTCATTGTGATGTACCATCGGTGTCATCCGGTTACTTCCTGAAATTTGCATATGATTCTTGAAGATGTGTGTAGTGATTTTACAGGTGATATATTTATTTTAGAGTTCGATTTCCGCGTGACTCCGAATTATCCTTAATTTATGGACATGAGCATAGCTTAGGTTTAATGCTTTTACAGAGTAGGTTTATGCCAAAAGATTTCGGAATGATATCAGGCTTCGACCCACTGAGAAAAGAAATACAAAGAAATTGGTTTCAAGTTTCATTTGATAGGAATTGGACTTATCGAATATTTAGTGTAACCGGGTTGCACAGGAAGAAATTCTATTTACTGAGAAAATCATTATTAATTTCAGTACATTTAGTGACATAAAACATTCAATTCGATTTGCCAAAAATTTCGAATTATCGAAGTTTGAGTAATCGAAATTCGATTATATTTAGACTAAAACCTTTCAGCAAATTATAAGCTTCGTAACCATTGTGTTTAAAAAACCTAGTAGTTCGTAGCAGGCTAAAATCGAGAGCGGCTGAGTCTTTGCACTGGAAAAGAACTGTCCTTCTCCTATACAAATATTTCGCTTTTTATCTAAAAAGGAAGAAACATAAATTTAAGGTCTCAAAGTAGTCATTCGATAAAGGTAAAGAGCCAGATGAGTAAGTCGCAGAACTGGAGGGGGGGGACATTTAAAAGCCACTTTAAATTAAGTAATTTTTATGTATGTCTCAGAAGACTAATGTAGATGATATGTAAATAATATGCTTTCATAAGAGCAAAGATAATAAAAATATTTAATAGTAAAAATATTTAAGCATATATTTATTTACGCAAAATAAAGCGTTTCGTGTGTTATTTAGGTAAGCCTGTTCTTAAAATTTCGTTTTTGTTCTATCTTAGCCTTGAATTTAAATACATTTAATGTCATTTTTTAGGTTTTGGTTTATTAGATTACGGCAAAGCACCCGAGGGCTATCTGCCTTAAGGGAGGAATGCCTTCGTGGAGGACTTTTTAACGGAACTTATATACATGGAGTATGGAACTCTAGTATAATAGTACATGGAACTCCATGTATAATGTGTAACCACGAAAACACCTATGCAGCCAGCCCATTCGCGGGATTCGAACCTCGGAC